GAAGCTCGCAGCCCCAGGGCCAGGGTGGAGTTCACAGAGCAGGGGAGAGGGGCACCGTGCAGGAATCTCGCAGCCCCAGGGCCAGGGAGAGATGCTTGTGGGGCGGGGGGGGGAGCTCGTGGGGTTGGGGGGGACGACACTGTGCGGGAAGCTCGCAGACCCGCACTGACCCCTCTACCCCCCCCGCCCCCCCCAGCGCTGCAGCGGCTGCTGGGCCTGGCGCTGCCGGCCATGGCGCGGGGCGTGCACCGGGAGCGGGAGCGGCTGGTGGCCATGGCGGTGCTGGAGGCGCTGGGCGCGGTGCTCACCGCCTGCCAGCAGGAGGCGCTGCGGAGCCCAGGGCGCCTGGCCGAGCTCTGCGGGGCCCTTCGCGCCGTGCTGGAGAGGAAGGTACCAGCCGGGGGGACATGGGGCCTTTCCCCTCTTGGTGGGGGGACCAGCCGAGGGGGGCAGAACATATGGGTCTCGGGGGGCGGGGGGGGCTTGAGGAGGGGCGGGGGAGGAGGGACTGGCTGGCTCGGGGCGGGACACGGGGGATTTGGGGGAGGACCAGCTGGCTTGTGGGGGATGGGACACAGGAAGGGGGGACATGGGGGGGGGGTTGTGGATCCCAGCACTGAGCTCCCATCTCCCCCCCCCCCCCCCCCCAGACAGCCTGCCAGGATGATGGCTTGGACGAGGAAGATGAGGAGGATGAAGAGCAGGTGACGTGGGGGTGGGGGGGGGCTCTGTGGGGGCTGCATGGAGCAGAGGGGCTGGAGATCGGGGGGAGGGGAGGAAAAAATGGGGGCTGTGGGGGATTTGGAGATGGGGTTAGAGGGGTTGGGGGGTGCAGGCCGGGGCTGGCGGGTGACTGGGGATTCGGGGGGCAGGGGATTTGGAGGTGGGGTCAGAGGGGTTGGGGGGGATTCTGGGGCCATGGGAGGCGCAGTGCGGAGGGGTTTGGGGGGCCGTGGGGTGCAGCGGGGCTCACCCCCACTCCCCTCAGGCGGAGTACGATGCCATGCTGCTGGAGTACGCGGGGGAGGGGATCCCCGCTCTGGCCGCGGCCGCAGGGGGCGACACCTTCGCCCCGTATTTCGCCGGCTTCCTGCCCCTGCTGCTCAACAAAATGGTGAGTATGTTGTGTGTCCCCCCGGGGACCCAGGCGTCCGGGCCGGTTCCCCCTTCTCCCCTCCCTTCCCACAGAGACCCAGGCATCTGGGCCGGTTCCCCCTTCTCCCATTGCTCCACCGCCCCCGGGGACCAGGCGTCCGGGCCAGTTCTCCCTTCTCCTCTCCCTTCCCACAGGGACCCAGGCGTCCGGGCCGGTTCCCCCTTTTCCCCTCCCTTCCCACAGGGACCCAGGCGTCCGGGCCGGTTCCCCCTTCTCCCCCACCACCCCTGGGTACCCAGGGGTCCAGGCAGGATCCTGCCACCCCACTGAACCTGGGTGGCTGTGGGGCCCCCCCCACTCACCCCCTGCTGAACCCAGGCGTCCGGGCCCCTTCGCTGTCCCCCAGAAGCCCAGCTGCTCGGTGGCAGAACGCTCCTTCGCTGTGGGGACGCTGGCGGAGACACTGGGGGGGCTGGGCCGGGCCACGGCCCCCTTCGTGCCCCGGCTCCTGCCCGCCTTCCTGCGGGCTGCCCGGGACCCCGACCCCGAGGTGCGGAGCAACGGCATCTTCGCACTGGGAGTGCTGGCCGAGCACGGCGGGGAGGCCCTGCTCCCGTATCCTGACCCATGGCGGGGGCTGCTGCGTGTGGGGGTTATGGGGGTTACTAGGGGTCAGCTAGGTGGATGAGTTAGGGGGGATCGTCTGGAGGGGGTGTCTGACCTGGGGGTCTCTGTTTGGGGTACATGGGGGTGAGAGGCTGTGGGGTGGATTGGAGGAAGGGCCCCATCTCCCCCTTGCTGTTCCCCTTTTCCTTAACACCCGTCCCCCCCAGACACTACCCCAAGATCCTGGCCCTGCTGGCGGGGGGCAGCACCCAGGAGTCGAGCGCCCGCGTGCGGGACAACGTCTGTGGGGCCGTCGCCCGCATGGTCCTGAGCCAGCCCCAGGCCCTGCCCCTCAGCCAGGTGAGGGGGCGTGATGGGGGCCTTCCCCGGGAGGCGGGGAATGGGGCGCTGGGCCTTGCCTCTCTAGGTGGCACCGGCTGGCTTGGGGGGGGGCAGGGCCTTGCTCCTCTAGGGGGCGCTGGCCCCAGCCGGCTCGGCAGCTAGCTGGGGATCTCTAACGGGGTCTCCCCCCAGGTGTTCCCCGCCCTGCTCCGCTCCCTGCCCCTCACGGAGGATTTTGAGGAAAATAAAACCGTTTTCCGGTGCATCAGTTTCCTGTACGAGAACGCCCCCCAGCAGGTACCGCCCCATGGGAGGCCTGGAGGCAGGTTGGGGGGGTCCTGTTCCAGTGGGTGATGGCGGCTGTGGGGGGCCCCTGTTCCAGGAACAGGGGGGGGTCTTTTGAGTGTCTTATCTGAGGATTTGGGAGGGTTAAATCCCCTTGACTAAGGGGGATTGGGGGTGTGAACCGCAATGGGGATCAGAACACCATGCAGAGGGGTGTCTCCCCTTCAGGTGGGGGGTGACTATGGGGGTGGTATTTGGGATGGGGGGTTCTCTGGCGAGTGACAGGATGAGGGTATTGGGGGGGATATCGGGGTCTCACCGCTGTGTTCCCTTCCCCCCCCCCCCCCCAGGTGCTGCAGCAGGTGGGGGAGGTGGTGCGGGCCAGCAGCACCGTCCTGGGGACCGACCATCTCCCGGCAGGTAAGTTGGGGGAGTGTCCCGAAGGGAGGGGGCTGGAGATCCCACCATTGGACAAGAAGGGGTGTCCCTGCCTTGGGGAGGGGGATCCTGCGGGTCTGGGGGTTCTCTCTCCCATCTAACCCCCCAGCTCCCCCCAGACGCCCAGGTCTCCCTTCTGTCGTTGCTGCGGCATCTCTCCGACCGCTGCCCCATGGAGTTCCAGGCGGCCCTGCTGGCCTTGCCCCCCGACGCCAGCGCCCAGATCCGCGGGGCCCTCAGCTCAGCGTGAGGTGAGTGGGGCGGGACGAGGAGGTGGGGGGTCCTGACGAGAACGACTCTCACCACACCTTCTCTCCCCTCCAGGGACACGGCCCCTCCTTGGTCAAGTGACCCTTGGCGAGGACAGTCAAGCTCCCTCTGCCTGTTCTCCCACCATTGGCCAACTGGACCCAACTCCACCTGTTCTTCCCCCCAAATGGTCAACTCTGGGCCCCCCAGATTGTTCTCATCACTGGGGGGGCCCTTCGGGGCATATAATTGAACTGTGTCTGCCTGTATCCAGCACTGTCGTGGGGAGGACTCAGTCTGTGGTCTTGAGTCTGCTTCGCCTGTCTTCTCACTTGCCACCACTGCGAAGGGGGGATCCAAGTACTGTTTGGTCACCAGTTGCCTGTAACTTTCACCCACTGCCCCCATGGAGGGGGTAGCTCCCGTCATTCCCCAGAGCTGCCTCTCGTTTGATTTCCTCCACCAATGTAAGAGCATATTAGAGACATGGTATGAATGGATTCTGCCTGTACCTGTCGCCAGCGGGAGGAGGACTTCGGTTACGGTGTTTGATCCTTCTTCCACCTCTATGCAGCACTGGTGTGGGACGAAACCAAGTCATGTTGTGATCTGGCTCTGTCGGTGGTTAGCACCATCGTTATGGTGTTGAACTGGATCCTCCCGTGTATTTCACCATGGATTTGAGAGGAGTCTCACCTGTAATTGTTGCTGCCCTAAAGGGGAGTATTAGTCTCATTGTTATCCAGTTGGCCTGTTGTTTTTGGATCCCGTTGCTTGCCTGTATTTATTCTTCCTCTGCTGATGGGAGTTGCATCGCTAACCGGTTCACCTGTAGGTTTTCCATGCAGCACACTCATAGGATGACCATGTTCAGCTGCTTCACTGTTGCCAAGAGGGAGGATTTCGTCTGGCTGTTCAACCACTTTGCCTGTTCTTTCACCTACCATGGCTGCAGGGAGTCTGAATCCTGTAGTTACCCCGGTTCACTTGTTGGACACCCCCTTACCCTCCCCCCGCCAAAACGAGAGGGGATTTCTTTGCTCAGTTTGCCTGTAGATTTTCACCAACCAGTATCTCACATGGAAGTCTGTCTTCCTGTTACCCATTTCACCCGTAGCTGTTACTTATCCTATGGAAGAGTTGACTTCCAAGTGTGAACCAGTGTTCCTGTGTCATCTCCCCACCCCACCCCACACACACTGCAGGGGTGAGCCTCAGTTGCATTGTCCTCCAGGCCACCTGTATTTCTTCACCCGCTATCTACAGCAGGGTTTTAGTCTTGGCATTAATGTGTTGGACTGTGTCTTCCAATGGCACGGGGAGAATTGAATCACAGGGTGAGTGGTTCGGCTGTATCTTCACCTAGCACTCCGAGGGTGGTTTTGTCTCAGAGGCAGTCTGCTCTGCCTGTGTTTTCACCTTGCGAGAAGCGGTTTCCATCCTGTTTCTTAATCAGTTCACCTGTGATTTTAGTTTTCACCCGCCGCCGGGTGTATTGTCTGGTTGTTCACTCAGCTGTCATTCTACCCCTCCCAGATCACCCAATGCTCTTAGTGCTGGTGGTGTTTTGGGGTGGTTCTAGGTCTGAGCAATACCCCCCCATTCCTGTATTTAACACCTCTTTGACAGTTGTGTTGTTTTTGATGAGAGAAAATCTATATTCTATGTCTTTGGAATAAAATAATGTTTGCCTGAGGCAGGGGGCCTCTTTGGGATGGGGGGGTGGGGACATGAACCTCAAAGTTGGGGGAAAGGAGGGGGTTGGGGGAAAGACCCATCCCATTACTAGGGGGAAGGGGGGATATGAAGATGGTGAGACCCACTTCTGCCCTCCTGCCAGTGGCGTGCTGTCATCGGGGGTTCAGGGGCGATGCTTAGCCTCCCTTTTGCTGGAGCCGGGGGGGGGGGGGGGTCTTACACTAGACGAAAGGAAAAAGCACCTGCTTCCCCTTGCCCCCTAATAACTCAAGGAGCAGGTTCCTGGCAAAACACTTTAATTAGAACAGATTTGTAACGGGGGAGAGGAAGACAAATGTGCCCCAGTCGGCAGGGGGGAGCCTCTTACCCCCACACCAGGAGCTCTAGCCTGTGCGGAATCGGGCCCCACGTTTGAGGAGAATCGGCCCGTAGGGCTCAGTCTGGTGCAGCTGCAGGAACTGGAGTCCACAGAGAACTGCAAGAGAGGGAGGAGGAGTCAGGGCTGATGCCAACACACCCACTGGGGTTCACCCTACCAGCAGGGGGCAGCAGGGCCCCTCACCCACCGGGGCTCATCCAGTCAGCAGGTCCCCACACCCCCTGGAGCCCAACCCGCCGGCAAGGGGCAGCAGGGCTCCGCTCACCGAGGCAGAGGTAGAAGATGCGGCTGGCGATGCCACGTGAGGTCGTGGTGGGCACCAGGGACCAGAAATCCATCTCCCCGACCTGCTCCAACTCTGCTGCCACCAACCTGGAGGGGAGACAGAGCCAGTGTAGAACCCAGGAGTCCGGCTTCCCGGCTCTCCCCTGCCCCATACCGGGCCCTGGCCCACCTGCGGATGTACTCCAGCGTGATCAAGTCTCTGTCGGGGGGCAGCTCCAGGCTGACTTCGGGCAGCTCAGGGACGATGGGCAGGGCCTCCTCAGGCTCCGGCACCAGCCTAGGGCAGGGCAGAGGGTTAATGGAGATCCTTGGGGGCTATACCCCTGCCCTCCATGTTGGGTCTCACCTTCTCTCCTCAGGGGTCACCAGGCTGGGGCGTGGCACCTCCTCCTCGGTGGTCTCCAGAGAGATCTCTGCCAGGGGGCAAGGAGCAGGGGGGTCAGTTTGACACTACCATCCACACTGCTCTTCCTGGTGTAGGGGAGAGACCACCCCAGAGCCCCTCCCTGTGACAGTGCCCCTCCCCGTGCCCCGAGCTGAGCCCCCTGACCACATCCCTGTAGCTTGGCACCCCTGGCTGACCCAACCCCTCCCTGTGGCACAGTGTCTCTGGCTGAGCCCCCTTCCTATGGCATGGTGCCCCTGTCCGAGCCCCCTTTCCCCCGTCCCTGGAGCACGGTGCCACCCCACATGAGCAACTCACCTGAGGAGACCATCACAGGGATGCTGGGCTCTAGCGCTTCACGTGCAACCTACAAAAGAGGGGGACACTCACAGCCTGGGGAGGGGAGTGGGGTCCAGTGGTTAGAGCAGGGGGGCCTGGGTTCTCTCCCCAGCTCTGGGAGGGGAGTGGGGGCTAGGGAATAAAGCCAGGGAGGGGGCGGGGAACCCGGACTCCTGGGTTCTCTCCCTGGCTGTGGGCGGCCAGTGGAGTCCAGGGGATACAGCGGGAGCTGCCAGGGGGGCCCCAGGTACCTCCAGTTCGCTGACCGGCTCTTCTTTTCTCTCCTCCTCGGCCCAGAGCGCTGCGTAGTCCACGGGCCGCAGGATGGCACAGTGCTGCCACAGGGCATGCAGTGCGGGGGGCAGCCAGCCTGGGGGACACAGACAGGGTGAGGGGGCTAGGGACCCAGTGCAGGGACCGAAGGAGCGGGGGGGGGCACTCACCATAGGTGGGGGCTCTTAGCAGCTCCGCAGGGGTCCTCCGCTGCCGGGCTGGCACCTCCACCACCACCTGGAGCAGAACAGATGGAGTCAGGGGGCTGGGAGCCAGGATGCCTGGGTTCTCTCCCGGCTTGGGAAGGGCAGGGGGAGTTAGTGGTTAGTGCTGGAGGGCTGGGACTTGCCGGGGGGCTGGCACTCACCAGGGGCCGGCACTGGGCCCGCACATCCAGGATCTGTTTCTTGAACTGGTCCCGCGGGATCTGGGTCACCTCGTCCAGGAAGCGGAGCTGGCGCCGGGGGGTGGGCAGGGGGGCCGGTTCGTATACGGCCAGCTCCAGCTGTGGGGCGCAGGGGGCATGGGTGAGCCACGGGCGCCCTGGCCGGGAGAGGCCACCGGCTGGCCCAGACCCTCTACTTACCTCCGGGCTGCGTGGGGGGCTCCGCTTCACCTTGGGGGTCACAGCTGGGGAAGGGGGAGGGGGTGGCAGCCCTGGCTCCCTCGGGGGGCTCAGCTCTGTGGGGCAGAGCCCAGAACAAGGGTTAGAGGCTGGAGCCCCGCCCCCACAGCTCTCTTCCCCCCTCATGCCCCACACTCACCGGGGAGTGGGGGCAGCTCCTCCTTTGGCAGCCGAGCCAGTTCCTCGGGCAGGGTGGGGGTCTCCACCTCGGCTGGGGGCTCCTCACCCACCCTGTGGGGAGAGACGGTGAGACCCTGACCCTGGCCAGCCCCACCCCGGCGCCCCCTAGAGGGAAAAGGCCCCATGCCCCATTCCCAGCTCCCGGCCAGTCACACCCTAGAGGGGAAAGTCCCCGTGCCCCATTCCCTGCCCTCTGACCGGCACCACCCCAATACTTCCTAGAGGGGAATGGCCCCGTGCTCCTTTCCCTGCCCCCCAACTAGCCCCACCCTGCCCTGGGGCCGGTGCATCCTAGAGAGGAAAGGCCATGTGCCCCATTCTCTGTCTCCAGCCAGCCCCACCCTGACATCCCCTAGCTGGGAAAGACCCCGTACCCCATTCCCTGCTCCCCAAGCCCACCCCACCCCTGCATCCCCACAGTGGGGAAAGGCCCTGTGCCTCATTCCCCAACCCCAGTCAGCCCCACCCTGGTCCCCACAAGAGGGAAAGGTCCCAAGCCCCCCAGCCAACCCCACCCTGCCCTGGGGCTGGCGTGCCCTAATGGGGATGGCCCACGCCTGCTCCCTTACCGGGTTGGGGGTGACAGTCTGGCCGTGATCTCAGCCTCCCGGGCTCTTATCTCTTCCAGCTCTGGAGGGGAGAAGGAGGCATGAGATGGGGCTGCGGCAACAGGATGAGCCCCTTGCCCCCACCCCAGCCCTCCAGGATCCCTGCGACCCCCCCACACCTTCCATGGGGCGTCTCCGGGGGGGGGCACGGGGTGAGGCAGGGGGCAAAACAAAGTCCTCCTGCTCGGCCAGCAGGTCGATCTCACGTGCTGTGATCTCCGGGAGGTCGCGCTCGCCCTGGGCGGGGAGGGGGGGAGAAAGGGGGGTGTCACATTGTGGATGTGCCCCCCCACTTCCCATATCCCCCATAATCCTACGCTGAGATCCCATCCCCCCAGGCCCTGGTTCCCCTAGACTCCCCCTGATCCCAGACCCCCATAATCCCTAGATTCCCGCACACTTCCACCCAGATGCCAGCCCCCATGGTTCCCCCCACACCTCGATTTCCAGCAGAGTGATGGGCTCCACTTCCTTCATGGTAATAATTTCGGGGGACACGACCGTGATGGGGGGTGCTTCTGAGTGGAGTGAGAGAAGGGGTGAGCTGGCAGTTAACGCCCACCCTGATTCCCAGCCACCCCCACAGAGCCCTGGGGAAATTTGGGGGGGGGCAATGACATCAGACCAGATATTGGGGGCATTAGAAAGGGAGGTTCAGAGGGCTAGGGAGAGTAGATGGGCTGGGCGAGCCTGGAGTTACTGGTTACACTGGGATGAACTGGCCTGGAACTGGGGCACCGGGTACAGTAAGATGCCTGTACTGGGGTTATACTGAGCCACTGGTTACATCAGAAGTGTGGGGGCCCTGGGCTTACCGGTTATACTGGCACAGTGGGTATACTGGTTACACTGGGATGCCAGGTATTCTGGACTGCTGGCATTGCTAGCTTGCACTGATCATGACAGGACTCTGACATCAGCTAGACTGGGAAGCCAGGATGTCCTGGTTATACTGGGACACAGTGGTTACTGGTGATGGATTACTGGTTATACTGGGATGCTGTGGTTACTGGTTATACTGGGACATGGTGGTTACTGATTATACTGGGATGCTGTGGTTACTGGTTATGCTGGGACATGGTGGTAAGGGGTTATACTGGGAGGCGGTGGTTACTGGTTATACTAGGAGATGGTGGTTACTGATTATACTGGGAGGCGGTGGTTACTGGTTATGCTGGGACATGGTGGTAAGGGGTTATACTGGGAGGCAGTGGTTACTGGTTATGCTGGGACATGGTGGTAAGGGGTTATACTGGGATGCTGTGATTACTGGTTATGCTGGGACATGGTGGTAAGGGGTTATACTGGGAGGCGGTGGTTACTGGTACAGAGAGGTGTTATGATTATATGGGGGGGGTGTTTGGTTATGCTGGGTCATGGTGGTAAGGGGTTATACTGGGATGCTGTGGTTACTGGTTATGCTGGGACATGGTGGTAAGGGGTTATACTGGGAGGGGTGGTTATGGTTATACTGGGATGCTGTGGTTACTGGTTATGTAACTGGGACGTGGTGGTTACTGGGAATGGTGGTAAGGGTTATACTGGGATGCTGTGATTACTGGTTATGCTGGGACATGGTGGTAAGGGGTTATACTGGGAGGCGGTGGTTACTGGTTATACTAGGAGATGGTGGTTACTGATTATACTGGGAGGCGGTGGTTACTGGTTATGCTGGTTCATGGTGGTAAGGGGTTATACTGGGATGCTGTGGTTACTGGTTATGCTGGGACATGGTGGTAAGGGGTTATACTGGGAGGCGGTGGTTACTGGTTATACTGGGAGATGGTGGTTACTGATTATACTGGGATGCTGTGGTTACTGGTTATGCTGGGACATGGTGGTAAGGGGTTATACTGGGATGCTGTGGTTACTGGTTATGTGGGAATGGTGGTAAGGGGTTATATGGGATGTGTGGTTTGTTATACTGGGACATGGTGGTTACTGATTATACTCGGATGCTGTGGTTACTGGTTATGCTGGGACATGATGGTAAGGGGTTATACTGGGAGGCGGTGGTTACTGGTTATACTAGGAGATGGTGGTTACTGATTATACTGGGATGCTGTGGTTACTGGTTATACTAGGAGATGGTGGTTACTGATTATACTGGGATGCTGTGGTTACTGGTTATGCTGGGACATGGTGGTAAGGGGTTATACTGGGAGGTGGTGGTTACTGGTTATACTGGGATGCTGTGGTTACTGGTTATGCTGCGACATGGTGGTAAGGGGTTATACTGGGATGCTGTGGTTACTGGTTATGCTGGGACATGGTGGTAAGGGGTTATACTGGGAGGCGGTGGTTACTGGTTATACTAGGAGATGGTGGTTACTGATTATACTGGGAGGCGGTGGTTACTGGTTATGCTGGTTCATGGTGGTAAGGGGTTATACTGGGATGCTGTGGTTACTGGTTATGCTGGGACATGGTGGTAAGGGGTTATACTGGGAGGCGGTGGTTACTGGTTATACTGGGATGCTGTGGTTACTGGTTATGCTGGGACATGGTGGTAAGGGGTTATACTGGGATGCTGTGGTTACTGGTTATGCTGGGACATGGTGGTAAGGGGTTATACTGGGAGGCGGTGGTTACTGGTTATGCTGGGAGATGGTGGTTAGGGGTTATACTGGGAGGCGGTGGTTACTGGTTATGCTGGGACATGGTGGTAAGGGGTTATACTGGGAGGCTGTGGTTACTGGTTATGCTGGGACATGGTGGTAAGGGGTTATACTGGGATGCTGTGGTTACTGGTTATGCTGGGACATGGTGGTAAGGGGTTATACTGGGAGGCGGTGGTTACTGGTTATGCTGGGACATGGTGGTAAGGGGTTATACTGGGAGGCGGTGGTTACTGGTTATGCTGGGACATGGTGGTAAGGGGTTATACTGGGATGCTGTGGTTACTGGTTATGCTGGGACATGGTGGTAAGGGGTTATACTGGGAGGCGGTGGTTACTGGTCATACTGGGAGGTGGTGGTTACTGGTTATACTGGGAGGCGGTGGTTACTGGTCATACTGGGGATCTGTTGTTACTGTTTAGAGTGGGATGCTGGTTGCACTGGGACGCCATCCGTACCATCCCCCCTGCCCCACAACCCGCTGACTCACCTGGCCTCCTGCGCCGGGGGGATGGGGTAGGTCTCTCTGGGGGGGTGGGAGCCTCCAGAATATGTTGAATCTGGGGGAGAAGCAATGTCACAGGTTAGCCCCATCCCCCACTTGACCCTAGAGGGGAGGTCTGCAGATAGTCTTTAGGGGACCTGTAGGATGTCAGTGGGGCTTGGCAGCGGGGGCATGATGATACCTGTGGGATGTCAGTGGGGCTGGTCAGTGAGGGCATGGGGATACCTGTGGGATGGGGATCTGGGCAGCGGGCGGACAGGGGGGGACCTGTGGGATGGGGATCTGGGCAGCGGGCGGACGGGGGGGACCTGTGGGATGTCAGTGGGGCTGGGCAGCAGGAGGACAGGGGGGACCTGTGGGATGTCAATGGGGCTGGGCAGCGGGGGACGGGGGGACCTGTGGGATGTCAGTGGGGCTGGGCAGCAGGAGGACAGGGGGGACCTGTGGGATGTCAGTGGGGCTGGGCAGCAGGAGGACAGGGGGGACCTGTGGGATGTCAATGGGGCTGGGCAGTGGGAGGACGGGGGGGGACCTGTGGGATGTCAGTGGGGCTGGGCAGCAGGAGGACGGGGGGGTACCTGTGGGATGTCAGTGGGGCTGGGCAGCGGTGGCTCCATCACCCCGAAGAAGGGGTCGGGTGCATCCTCTAGGGCCTCCATCAACAACAGGTTGTCAGGGAGCAGCAGCCCCGGCCTGGGTGTAGATGTGGGTCAGAGCCCAGAGAGAGATAGTGACCCCCCAAAGATACCCACTCCCCTCACAGCTCCCCTGACCCCCACACAGCCCTCCTGCCTCCCCCAAAGCCTCCCCCACCCCAAACTGGTCCCCAAAATCTTACCAGGACCTTCTTCTACCCCCCAACCTGCTACTGAGCCCCCTTCCCTCTACTCCCCCCACTATTAATCCCCTCCTCGGTACTGACCCCTGACCACTGCTAGGCTTCCCTCATGGCCTCTCCCTTGACATTTGGCCTCCCACCCCCAGAGGAAGGGTTACAGGCATATCCTAAGTGCTAAGGGGGTTCAGGAGTGTCCCAGGGGTTATGGGGTGGCCCCAGTGCCCCCCCATGACTCACTGTTCGAGGTCCCCCATGTCAATGCGGATCTGCTGCTGGGCCCGGCTCAGGCGCTCCAAAGTATGTTGGATCTCCTCTGGGGGGCAGGCAGTGGGTGGGGGTGAGATGGGGGGCTGGATTTTCTCAGGGGGGCAGGCAGAGGTGGGGGTGAGATTGGGCGGGCTGCTTCTCCTCTGGGGGCCAGGCAGGGGGTGGGGTAAGATGGGAGGCCTGGATCTCCTCGGGGGGGGCAGGAAAGGGGGTGGGAGGTTGGAGGGCCTGGAGTTCCTCTAGGCGGTGGGGGGTGAGATCCGGTGGTGGAGGGGATACCCAGCAGGAGGAGAAATCTAGACCACCCCCAGGGCTTGTCTCCACAATGTTTTTAACTGGTTCCTAAACCCAACCCAGGCTCAGTTGGAAGTGAATTGTGTCTACACCCCCTTCAGCTAAACCACTTCAGCATCACACCCCAACTCCACTGGCTTCCTGAATCTGCGTCAGTCACCTCGCCATTGATGGCTTTTAATCCAAATTAAGAGCATCCACACACCTATTTAGCTAAACCGGTTTCACACCAATTTCAGGTTGAGGCTAGAGTTGGATGGGAAATCAGTTTTGGAACTTTTTAGCAAATTGAAATATTTTTTGGAGCAGGGGTGGAAATGGGTGGGTCCGAGGGGTTGTTCCCCAAAGTCTGGTGCTTAGTGAGAGGTGTCTCGCCAAGCGGGTGAGAAGTCGGAGCAAGGGGCCCTGAAATTGGAGTGGGACTCCTCTGGGGGGCATGTCCCCCCCAGTTGAGAGCTGTTGCCTTGGCAACATCATACGAGCTGTCTCTCCGTTCCCCCAACGTGCCCTCCCAACCCTCCTGCTGGGTTGAACTGGGGAATGGAGGCTGTGGGGCCAGCTGGGATGATGTGGGGGCACTCACCAATGAGGTAGTGGCACTGTCGGCTGTAGACCCGCACTACCCCATACTGCAGCTGGGCGGAGAGATAGAGGGAGAAGCGGGGCCGGGGGGCGGCAGGGGTGGGCGGTGGGGCCTGCACCAGAATATAGGTCAGAATTTCTTCGCTGTGCCAACCCATGCCAATGGGGGGAACAAGAGAGAGAGAGTCAGTGTTTCTATCCCTCTTCCTCTTCATCCCTCCATCTACCCATCCATCGTCTTCATCCCTCCTTCCATTCTCTAGCTACCCTCATCTTCATCCCTCCATCTGCCTCATCCATCTACAGTCTTCATCCCTCCTTCCATTCCTCCACCATCCTCTTCACCCCTCCATCTACCCCATCCATCTACCGTCTTCATCCCTCCTTCCATTCCTCCACCATCCTCTTCACCCCTCCATCTACCCCATCCATCTACCATCTTCATCCTTCCTTCCATTCCTCCATCCACCCTCTTCTTCATCTCTCCATCCATCCCCACCCATCCATCTCTCCCTCCCTCCATTTTCCATCCATCCCTCTCTTTCTCCCACCCATCCTCTAGATCCTACCCTCACCCACCTCTCCTGCCCTCCATTCCCCCTCCGTCCGTTCATCCTTCCCCCCACATCCATTTCTCCTCCCTCCCTGCCTCCCTCCCACCACAACACCCACCATGTTTGGGGTACATTCACTTTCAAATATTCCCTCTTCACCAGCTTGGTGCCGCCCGTGGCTGCCAGCCTAGGGTGAGGGAGAAGGGGGTTAAAACGGATGTGGTGGGGTCCCCCTGCCCCAGATTGCCCCCTATCCACCCACCTGGATCCCCAGAATAGAGACCCCCCCCTTGGCCAGATCACAGCACAAGGACATTACCAGATGGTGGCAAAGCGGCCTGTATGGCGCTGCAGGACATTGGGATAGTAGAACATGGTGGTGCTGGGATGGGGGAGTTAGGGGGACCCCAAAACAGCCTCCTCAAAGAACCCACAACCCTGTAGGAGGCTTCTCCACTATTGAAATGGGACGTTCACAAATCCTACGGAGTCAATAGGACCCTGAAAAACCCTATAGCTTCAGCTGAACCCCCAAATATCTTATAGAGTCAGTGGGACCCCAAAATATTGCAAATTGTGTGGTGCCTTAATAAATCCTATTGACTGCTTTTTGAGGGTGGAAAACACAGATTTTTGTTCCACTGTTGAAACAAGACAAAATTCAGAGGCAGAGTAATTAAATAAAATCAACTCGTTAGCAGCTAACGAATGAATAGCTAAATATTTTGCCTGAAGCATCAAGATTTTAAAAACTATCGCGTGACACAAATAGATAACTTTTTATATAAAAAATAATTAACAAGTGAGGTTAATTAGGTCAGTTGATAAGAGGAAGAAACATTAAATATTAAGGGAGGGACTTTGGTTATTGAGATGGGTAAATGGGTGCTGGGGAGAAACCTGCCCAGGGGAAGGGAATTGGGCGTCTAACTCGGAAGCAATTAATTAGGATATTAAAAATGAATGATGGGTGTTAATTAGAGAGATGAGGCTATGGGGTTAAAATGAGGCTGGTGAAGGGAAATCAGATGTGGATTTCCTTGTCTAATAAAGAGCAAACTCTAATTAATCATGATATGAAATAGTAATGCTGGTGCTTAATTAATTAAAAAAGAGGAGGAAGTGGTGTTAAAAATCATGTGGGCAACTGGAAGCAGATTTGAATCCTTCTCTTAATGAGGAGCCAGCTAATTAACTGTGATGTTAAAAAAACGATTAATGACAGAGAACAAAGAATTTACCAATGCTATTAATAAGAGTAAAAACACATGAAAGGTATACTATTAATACATTAATTAAGGAGATGTGTAATTATTGGTGCTATTAATACATTAATGCTGTACGATTAAGAACAATAGAAAGTAACACTGATATGAATAAATTAATTGGAAATTTGGACAATTAACAGTGCTGCTAATCAGTTTATGATGTAGAGCAATTAACAATTTTTAATACGTTAATTAGGGCAATGAACTGTTAAAGTTGCCTTTAATAAAGACGGGGAACAGAAAAATTTACAGTGATATTAGTAAATTAATGAAAAAGACTAGCTATTAACAGCAATATTATTAGTAATCAGTGAAGATAATTGTTCTTTATAAACGTTAACTTAACAGCAATACTAATTAACTAGGGAATGAACAATTAGAGGTGGAGAGAGAAGTGAGATACTGTTGAGAGAAGCAAATATTTCTTGAACTTGTACAGGTAGAGGTGCTGTTAATTAGCTAATTAGGAGTGAACAGTTTAAGCTATTAACAAATTAGTTCAATGGACAATTAGAGGTGATATTCATGAATTAATTAGTCAAAAACACAATTGGAGGCACTGTCAATCAACCAATTAGTCCAATAGTCAATTAGAGGCCCTATTAATGAACACATTAGTCTAATGAACAATCAGAGGTGTTGTTAATTAGATGATTCGTCCAATTGACAATCAGAGGGGCCGCTAATGAATTAATTAATCCAATGGATAATTGGGTGGGTTATTCATGAACTAATTAGTCCAATAGAAACTAGAGGCCATGGTAATTAGATAATTAGGATAGACAATTAAGGCTGATATTAATTAATGAAGGCAATTATAGGTGCTATTAATAAGCTTGGCGTTGTCAGGGGCAACGGTTGCTACCCTAAGCCCTCCCACCCACGCCCTCCAGAGTGAGGCATGGTCTGGCCTCAGCCCTCTGCCTTTATAACCACCCTATGGTGCTGCCACCAATGGAAGATGGGCCTGCTCTCGTGCTCCAGCCAATCACCGGATTCTAGTGCCACGTGGGGATCTTCCCTCTGGCCCTGGAGACTGCAACTCTCCGGCGGCTCCTCGTGAGCTGGGGGCTCCAGCCAATCAGCGGGATCTTTCCAACCCGGAGACTGCCAGGCCCAACTGCTCTCTCGCTTTCGCTCCCAACCAATCAGAGTCCACCTAATAGGAGCCCGAACCACGTGGAATGCTAGCGTTTACCTCTGCAGAAGACTCCCCCACAACCTGCCCCAGTGACTGATGACCTCACAAGGCGCACAGCCAATGATAGCCGTTCCCGCTCACCCACCGCGACCAATCGGAGGGACGAGGTGGTTTTCCCGCCAAATTTTCACGGAGGTAAATTCTCTCACTAGAAGAAAAGAACAGGAGGACTTGTGGCACCTTGGAGACTAACCAGTTTGTTTGAGCGAGTCAATCCCGGCTGCCAACCGCCCCCCCCGTGTCCATCCCCGCTGCCAACCGCCCCCCGTGCCAATCCCGGCTGCCAACCGCCCCCCCGAGTCCATCCCCGCTGCCAACCGCCTCCCCCGTGTCCATCCCCGCTGCCAACGCCCCCGTGTCCATCCCCGCTGCCAACCGCCTCCCCGTGTCCATCCCGCTGCCAACCGCCCCCGTGTCCATCCCCGCTGCAACGCCTCCCCCGTGTCCATCCCCGCTGCCAACGCCTCCCCGTGTCCATCCCGCTGCCAACCGCCCCGAGTCCATCCCCGCTGCCAACCGCCCCCCCGTGTCCATCCCCGCTGCCAACCGCCCCCGTGTCCATCCCGCTGCCAACCGCCCCCGTGTCCATCCCCGCTGCAACCGCCTCCCCGTGTCCATCCCCGCTGCCAACCGCCCCCGTGTCCATCCCGCTGCCAACGCCCCCCGTGTCCATCCCTGCTGCAACCGCCTCCCCGTGTCCATCCCCGCTGCAACCGCCCCCGTGTCCATCCCCGCTGCCAACCGCCTCCCCCGTGTCCATCCCCGCTGCAACCGCCCCCGTGTCCATCCCGCTGCCAACCGCCCCCGTGTCCATCCCCGCTGCCAACCGCCCCCCGAGTCCATCCCCGCTGCCAACCGCCCCCTCCATGTAAATCCCCAGTGCCAGCTGCCCTCCCGTGTCCATCCCCGCTGCCAACCGCCCCCCCGTGTCCATCCCCGCTGCCAACCGCCCCTCCATGTAAATCCCCAGTGCCAGCTGCCCTCCCGTGTCCATCCCCGCTGCCAACCGCCCCCCGTGTCCATCCCCGCTGCCAACCGCCCCCCGAGTCCATCCCCGCTGCCAACCGCCCCCTCCATGTAAATCCCCAGTGCCAGCTGCCCTCCCGTGTCCATCCCCGCTGCCAACCGCCCCCGTGTCCATCCCCACTGCCAACCGCCCCCCGAGTCCATCCCGCTGCCAACCGCCTCCCGAGTCCATCCCCGCTGCCAACCGCCCCCTGTGTCCATCCCCGCTGCCAACCGCCCCCTCCATGTAAATCCCCAGTGCCAGCTGCCCTCCCGTGTCCATCCCCGCTGCCAACCGCCCCCGAGTCCATCCCCGCTGCCAACCGCCCCTCCATGTAAATCCCCAGTGCAGCTGCCTCCCGTGTCCATCCCCGCTGCCAACCGCCCCCGTGTCCATCCCCGCTGCCAACCCCCCAGTCCATCCCCGCTGCCAACCGCCCCCGAGTCCATCCCGCTGCCAACCGCCCCCGTGTCCATCCCCGCTGCCAACCGCCCCTCCATGTAAATCCCCAGTGCCAGCTGCCCTCCGTGTCCATCCCGCTGCCAACCGCCTCCCCGAGTCCATCCCCGCTGCCAACCGCCCCCCGTGTCCATCCCCGCTGCCAACCGCCCCCTCCATGTAAATCCCCAGTGCCAGCTGCCCTCCCGTGTCAATCCCCGGTGCAATTTCACCCCCCGTGTCAATCCCCGGTGCCAACCGCCCCCTCCATGTAAATCCCCGGTGCCAACCGCCCCCTCCATGTCAATCCCCGCTGCCAACCCCCCGCCCCCGTGTCCATCCCCGCTGCCAACCGCCCCCTCCATGTAAATCCCCAGTGCCAGCTGCCCTCCCGTGTCAATCCCCGGTGCAATTTCACCCCCCGTGTCAATCCCCGGTGCCAGCCGTCCCCCCGTGTCAATCCCCGGTGCCAACCGCCCCCTCCATGTAAATCCCCAGTGCCAGCTGCCCTCCCGTGTCCATCCCCGCTGCCAACCGCCCCCCCGTGTCCATCCCCGCTGCCAACAGCCCCCCCCCGTGTCCATCCCCGCTGCCAACCGCCCCCTCCATGTAAATCCCCAGTGCCAGCTGCCCTCCCGTGTCAATCCCCGGTGCAATTTCACCCCCCGTGTCAATCCCCAGTGCCAATGCCCCCCGCCATGTCAAGCCCCGATGCCAATGCCCCCCATGTCAATCCCCAGTGCCAACGGCCCCCCCCCATGACAATTCACGGTGCCAACGCCCCCTCCCTCATGTCACTCCCCAGTACCAATGCCCCCCCCTTGTCAATCCCTGGTGCCAACAGCCACACATACCCCGCGTGCCGATACTTGCTGCCAATGCCCCCCCCCCCCCCATGAATGTCTCTGGCTGTAACCTCCCCGCCATGGGCCCTCTTCCTTTTCCTGGTCATAAGCCTCTGAGCCCTGACAGCTGCCCCCCATCGGGCCCTGAGATAATTTTTGGTGGCCTTTTCTGCACCCCTCACCAGTGTCTCCCCAGCCTTTACAAAGAGGATTATGAAAAAGTATTTAAAAGTTATATCTGACATAAAAAGTGTGATGACTAACTGCATAGCTATTTAAACCACTGACAGTAATTAATAAAGGTTAATGACTTTTACAATCCATTAATAACAAATAACCATGGCGAGAAACCACATTGATTGCTAATCCTGATAATAAACAGGAGTGAAGGTTAGTGAGTGATATTTACCACACAGCAATCATTAATAATGGATATAAAAGAGATTGATCACTGAGACTGATGATAGAAAATATATTAACCACTAATATTGATAATAATTAATCAAGATTAATGACTAAATATACAACAAATTAAAATATATTAGCCTATAATATCACTGATAATTAATATTGGCTAATGGGAAAATACACATGTGATTAATATATATATTAACCGCTAATATTTTTATATTTAATATTGAATGACTAAATCTACACCAGATTAATATATATTAACTAATGTTGTTAATTAATATTGACTAATGGCTAAATCTACACTAAATTAATATATATTAACACCTAATATTGTTGATGATTAATAATTGCTAATAGAAGCTAGTGACTAAACATACAATAAATCAATATGTATTAACCACTCATACTGTTTATAATAACAGGTAAGAAAGATTAATGAGTAATGTTCACAAGAAATGAAGTAATACAGCACAATAATGAGGCTTGTAGTTAGTAGATGTGACGAAATGGGAATGTTCATAATGTTTTCTCGGAATACGGTGTAGGTGCCTCAGTTTCCCCTATGCAGTTCTGAAGTATCTCGGGGGTGGGATAAGGGGGTGTGATTGCTGCAGAGCCCCAGTGGGCCAGCGTGATGCTGTCTGCACAGAGAATGGCCGACACCCCGTCTCCTGGCCACTGATGGCCTGGGGCCTCCCCTGCAAGGAGCCAACTGAAGGGGTTGGAGAACACAGAGATCAGGTGGCCTCCTGGCCCGGGAAAGAGACAAAGGCCAGAGGAGGGGCTGGAGAAATGGAGTTTGGAGCTGGCTGGGGAAATGGAGCGGGGCCCAGACGGGGCTCTGGCCTCTTTGGCACCAAGATGGACCTGACTTCGGGCTCCAGTTTCCTGTACCTACAAGCTCTGTTTTGGCTCCTGTTCCTGTCGTCTAATAAACCTTCTGTTTTACTGGCTGGCTGAGAGTCACATCTGACTGCAGAGTTGGGGGGGCAGGACCCTCTGGCTCCCCCAGGACCCTGCCTGTGCGGACTCGCTGGGGGAAGCGCACGGTGGGGCAGGGGAGGCTGAATACCCTGAGGTCAGA